TCTAAAAATTTTTAAAAAACAATAAAATGTCTAATTTCTCTGACATCAATAAATTAAAAAGAAATATAAAAAAGTTGAACAATGTTGAAAGTAGTGTTGAATTTTTGAAATGTTGCGTTAACAAGTCTGTTACCAAAATATACATATATATATATATATATATATATATATATATATATATACACATATATATACATATATATATATATATATGTGTGTGTGTATATGTGAATTGAATTCCATCAATTAAAAATCACAATTATATCCACAGCAACGAAAACAGAGTTTATCATGTTGAATAAAGCCAAAAAAATTATTATAATATAATTACGCAAATGACAATGATGAAACCAAATCATAATGTTGATATTACAATATAAAAGCATTTGTTAGAGCACTTTAAACACAAATTAAAAGTGTGTGCATTTAAAAAAGAAATGAACGACACACACCTTGCATTGAAAACACACATCTCACAAACCATGACGTTAGGTAGCCGCGAGATGTACGTATGAATCGTGCCTACAGATAAAAATGAAGGATACACAAATATATATATATATATATATATATATATATATATATATATATATATATATATATATTGAGTTGAGGCTATCTGATATGCAGTTGTTTAAAAATATCACAGCATTGCATGCGTTGTTTAATTTACAATTGAGTTTTACAATTTTTCGTACGACAAACTTAGTTCATTATCAAGTTTGTTCAGTTCATTAAATAAGCTTTTTATGTTAGAATGTACGTAAATATTTAAAAGAAAATGCTAAAAATGATTATATGTTTATGAACTGAACAAACTTGATAATGAACTGAAATTTGTCGTGTGAAAAATTGAAAAATTCAATTGCAAATAGAACAACACATGCAATGCTGTGATATTTTTAAACAACTGCATATATATGTGTGTGTGTGTGTGTGTGTGTGTGTGTGTGTGTGTGTGTGTGTGTGTGTGTGTGTGTGTGTGTGTGTTTATGCATCATACAACATTACTGAAATATCATTTATTGAAGAACCACGTTGATAGAATAGAAGCCATCTATGAATTTATTAAGTTCTAACAAGAAATCAAAAATTATTAAATCGAATATTTGACAATTATTTGATGAAAGCAACACCTATTTAATAATTTGACCTTGCAACACACATGACACCAAGAGCTTATTTGTTTTAATGTTATAAATGAACTAAATACAATGTTAAACAAGTCAATTTAGTTTCTTTAAAGCTGAAGGAATTTCATTTTTGAATTGTACCTGAACTTTTTTACTTAACAAAACGTCTTGTGTTCATCATTGCAATTTTCAAAATTAGTTTATTAACATGGAATACTTAGGAAAGTACACTGAATTATTTGAATTCAAGAAAATGCAAACACGCACACACTCACAAATCAATCTATTGGTCACTAGAAATAAAATTTAACAAAAAACAATGACAGTGCAATAAAATGTTTTATACAATTCCACGGCATTTACAATCTGTAATTGAAAATTTGATACAATTTTGGGATATACTACAATAAAAAAAATTCTTAACCAACGGAAACGCAACGACATCCTACCTACAATCAATCAATCATTCAATTGTTCCAAAACTTAGGCAATAGCAATTCCAAGCACGCAGGCTTTTATTAACTCATTTAAAATCACATTGACAAAGGTAATGAAACACGCTATTAACATATTCATACACACACGCATACAAATCAATGACCCAAGTGCAAAATCAAATACACAAATGAACACAAAATAAAACATTCTACAGACATGCAAACAACACAACCGATAGACAGCGTTAACTTGCATTATACCTATTCGGCGTTACACCATTGCACAATAACTAAACCAACATTGCAGCTACATCCTTCAATTACTGTACTTAGATGATTTCATCTTAATGACCAGCATATAAAGCAGCCTCCCGACATCCTTCTACCATCATCTTTATCATTCTTATCTTTATCAAACCATTATAACTATTAAAGAGAAATTTTTAAAAAAATATCACCTACAAGCCAAAAACTAGCGTACAAAATCTAAATAACCGTTACTGCTTAGCAAATTTATCATTATCATTATTGTTGTTATCATTATATTAGAGAGACGATGATGCAATGAGAGCAATAGCCACTGCTTACCATCATCATCTGCATTAGTAACATGTAACAATCAAAATGTGTCTGTAAACAAGTAAATCACATTGAGTAATGATAAAAAAAATGTGATAATGATGTGTAATGATTATTGTAGTAATAATAACAATAACATTAATATTAATTATAATCATCATAATAATAATAATAACAACAATAATAATAATAATAATAATTGATTACTAATCATAAAAACGGCATTAAATCATTAATTCTGTAAGATTAGGAAACAGATGGTTAGAAAGATGGATGGATGGATTAGCTGCAAGATCCTATTTATCAACAAACAGTTCAAAGTGAGTGCTGCCTGCCTTATCGTTCTTGTGATGTTTGATATTTTTTGCCCATAGTTTGCACCAAACCTGATAAAATTTGGAATGTTTAATGAAAATTTATTAACACTACCAACTAGACTCAACAACATTACAGTTAAATTTAACCATACAATCATAAACATAGAGATCTTCCATAATATCCAAATGTTAAAATGGCAGACCTGGACAAGAGCGCCCTGCGTTACATTGAATCGAGCAAAGACGATTGGGGAGAGGTAGCCAGGTTGATTCATGTAGGGGTAGAATCTGTAGGGAAAGCCAGATGGCGGGTAGAATTCAACATTGATTATGTTGTCTTCATCTGCCTCATTCTGTTGGTTTTAAAATGTGACAGTCATCATTGAATAGGGTATTTTAATAATGACAAAATAAACTTTCATAATATGAAAATAATTTATTGTGTAAACACTTCCATGAAAGTTATGTAACTATGATCAAAACGGAAGGCAAAATATTATTAACAATTGCATATTATACAACAACAAAAAACAGTTAAAACATACAAAAAATATAAGATAAAAGGAGAACAGACGTCGTCTGACACAATCAGTGGCAAATTAATTAAGATCACTCACAACAAAAAAATTCTGCCAATACACACACAAAAATAAATATTCAACAACGCAATTATAAGTGAGGACATTAAACAAAATCCACCCACCTCTCCCTCGCATGAAACAGTAATGTGATTTGAAGATAACGGTATGTTCTTTCTTATGGCTTCTTCATATCTGCATAGAAAAACATCATTCATTACCATTATAAACTTCATGGTGAACAGTACAAAATTATTGCCATCTAAAATAGCAATAGATAAGTTTATACTGAGAATGAGATAGCAGCCCAGTAAACTGAAAGTGATTTGATAATAAATGGTAATAGCAAGGAAGTTCAGAAACAATTACAAAATTAATAAACAATATTACCAAAGAGGTAAAGAATGAATAAAATTAATGACAACGACTGATAAATTGTTCAAACCTGTTCTTTTCATCACCAGTCAAGCCTGTTTCATTAGCTGAAAATGGCTTGGGAAGCCAATCATAAACCTGAATGATAATATTATAGATTTATACAGAGTTACTTTTGATTGTTACTTCATTTTCACTAACAGATTTGCTGATAAATTATCAATAGATCTGTCAATGGTGGCAATAATTTTTAAGATTACCAGATTAATCACCCACTTCAACATTAATTTCATAAAAATATATGACAAACCACCATAAATTAAACGATAAAAAACGGGGGAGACACAATTGATTTTTTATTTTGATTTACCCCAACACCAACCCGATTAATCTTTAGAAGTACGCAAGGTAGTCCTTCATCGTAGCCATAGTTGTTATCTTCAGTGCAGGGGCCGAACATAGACATGTTCACCTGACAGATTGTCAAATCTTTTTGGAAATCTTTCGGACAATCTTCTAACGAAAAATTCTGGGCCTTATATACTGTTTGTGTTAATTATCAAAATGCTATAATGGTGTAACCAAAACAACCAGCTTGATTTAATAATTTTAAGACTAAAAAAAGTGCAAACACATGCAAATACTTTTATACAAGACATAAAAATCTTCAGGCAATCAATTTCCAAATAGTTTTGCAATGAGACCAAACAACTGAAATAATACTGAATTCACACCTCTGCCCTTTGCTAATTAAACAAACATGCAAGATAAGCATCAAAGCAATTTAAAAAGAGATGCACACAACAGCAGGCAGACAGCTTTATGCACTTGTCAATTATTCTCATCTTGATTTAATTAAAGAAAAAACAGATACAAATCCATATAATCATAGACAAAAAACTATAACCCACAAATTTAAAAAATATGCACAATCACAGGCAGGCACATTCGAGTACATAGCACATGTATGCCCAAGCACAACATTACACCCATTCCACAGTAGGGAATGTACACAAACTGGGTAAACAAACATGTACAAACCTCATCCCAATAAGCCCAAACAGAAGCAAGCCAATATACTTCTCTATACATTTATGTTTGAACATATCCTCATACACATACACACAGACATGTGCACAATGAATAAATATATAGATTGTAGGTATATACACATCCACACAACCAAGTACAGGTACACAGACATTAACACACATACACACACATGTATATCTTCAATATACATAAAAAAATTAATGCTAACATACGATACACATTTATATAAAAACACTTATAAATGCAAACAGTGTTTATCAAGCACTGCATACAAAGGTAACAACACTCTACCAGTATCAAATCAACTGATCAATTCTGGGTAAATATGTCTATGTGTTGTGTACGCGCGCTCGTGTGTGTGTGTGCGTGCAGTGAGAGCAAACAAAACAAAAAATGCAGGAATGGAATGATCAAAAATAAATTGATACAGCAGGATAATAATTGTGGATAACAAAGGTCCTATTACTTTCTAAAGAAATAAATCACAATACAGGCAGAGATTATAATGTGGCAATTACTATAATTGTGTGCATTTTTTTTAAGCCTAGCTATTATAAAACATCATATGCACTAGTATAATAAATTTGAAACAATTTTTCATTACAACACACTGTGAACATTAAAGAATAAACAAATAATATTTGCCTGATTAATTTAAAATATCCACAAACAAAGTGTATCACAATTTCTTCAATTACTATGAAAAGAATTCAATAACAATTTGTAACTAAAAGAATGATAACATCAGCTTTAGTAACACTACCACGTTGTGGTATTAACAATAAAAAGATTGACAACAATGCATATATACAAATGCATGCATGCACACACTAGAAAAATCAATCAGACAATCAATTGTAGCCTTAGGTAAAACAATTAATGCATGATGATTTCTCATGATGTATTTTCCCTCTAATCTCTCTCTCTCTCATTATTTCTCTCTTCCTTTTGCTTCCATCTTATTTCTTCTATTTTATCTCTTATAGACTTGTACAAACGGATATAAACAAGAAATTTTTTGGCTTTGAAATAAATTTCCTTACCCCATTATTACACTAAGGTTCAAGTTTTGTCATTTCTGATAGCAGTTGATTGAACTCTTCTATGCCATCAAATCTTATTTCAGTAAATTTTTAAAACTGCGGCCCATACATCTATTCCACTAGAGTCTTATTAACAAATCAGCTCTTCATCAGTCATATAAATATAAAACAACCAAACTAATTAGTTTAAAACCAACTTATATTTTTTTCTTTCCTTAAAGACAGTAAGTACACTCTTTCATATATAGTTATTATTAATTCATACAATTTTCTTCTATTTTAAGCATGCATAATTTATTTTATTCTATTTTATTTTACTTTTCATGTTTAAGCATTTTTCTTTCTCAGTTTTTTTATTTATTTATTTACTTATTCATTTAATTTTATACTACTGCCTTGCATGCTGTAACAGTTTCTGTGTCTGCCAGATCCTGATTTTTAAAGAATAATTAAAAAAAATAATGGTTCTTGGTTACTACTTTATGAGTACTTATAAGAAAATATTTTTATAAACATTAAACATTTTGCTGTTCATAAATATGATATTCAGAAAGTCACAAAAACATAAAAACATGTTCATAGTATTAATGAAGTTAATCTATATAATTGAAGAAATTTATCAAAAAAAATATAACATAAAAATATGTACATACATATAAATGTAGATAAATATATAAGCAGGCTAAAACAGCTTGCATAAATACACCAACACATAATATATAATGTATACCAATGTATATATATATAATAATTGACTGCAAACAATTACACAAGCAATTCATACCAATCAGACACTAATTCATCTAAACAAAACTTGATATGCAACCAAAACAATGACAACAACAATGACAACAACAACGACAACCACACCAACACCGAAATAATAACAAAAATAATAGCACAATTTTAACATGAATAAAAATTCAGCTACTGTTTTATTTATAACACAGTGATTGCTATCATAAAATATTATACAGGGTTATCCATGTATATCCAATATTAATATAGATATATATGTATATTATCAATAAAAATCTCAGCATGTTCTGTGTTAGTTAGTTAGCATCCTGTTTAGTTTTTCGATTTTTCTAACTGATTGTAAATCCTTCTGAAGCATGATAGAACAGAAAAGCTTTTTTGTGTGTTCCTATACAATCTTCGGTGTTCGAATTGGGTTGTTATATGAGTGTACTTGAAGCATTATAAAGATAGTGACTAACATTATAATATATATAATAAAATAGTGTACCATGACTAAACAGGAAGCTAACTAACAGGGAACATGCTGTGAAGTTCGTCAATAATTGCATTTCTGACAATCTTAATCCAAAATATATGTATATGTGTGTGTATGTATATATATTGTTAAGTCTTGGGCGAGCCATCAAACCAAGCCAGCCCTTCATAATCAGAAATTGTGCTAAGATTGAAATAATTCAATCAATCAAATTCACTAGATATCATTCAGTTAACTAAAACATTGTGGTAGTTCAAAGTCTATTATATAACACTTTAAAGTTTTTTTTTAAATGAAACGGGATTGGAAATAAAAATAAATGAAAACAAATGGTGATATATATCATGCTAAACCTCAGTAAGATATAAGCAATGTAATCATCAATAACCTAACAACATAATAAATCAAATTTGAAGATAGTGATAATAAAAAACTTGAATTTATAATGTAGACAACTGATCAAATGTGGAGAATCAGAACAATCAACAACCTCTCTAAATTGCTGAGTGCTGAAGTGAGAACTGAAACTCAAATGAACTATTAACCAGAATAATGAAGACTCATGATAAGGAAAAAAGTCAAATTTTCTGTGCATATAAACACACACACACACACACACACACACACACACACACACACACACACACACACACACACACACACACACACACATATATATATATATATATATATATATACTTAAGCATATATAGATATTATATGTTTTAACATATATAAAATATAAAAA